GATGAGCTGGGCTGTCACCGCTTGGCCGCCGGTGGGGGTTTGGGAGGCCTGCGCGCTACTTCGCTCATCTCCTCTGACAGGTCACTGCTTCGAGACACTTCTGGCGCACCTGCCTCGGCACTTTTGTGTCCTCATTCCGGTTCGTTTTTTTTCGTGAGCTTTTCCTGGCGCCGTGCACGCTGCTTCTCCCCTTACCAGCAGCCCAAATGCTCACGACGATGAGCTGGGCTGTCACCGCTTGGCCGCCGGTGGGGGGTTTGGGAGGCCGCATCACACACAGACACCCACACACTCCCTCAACTTACACGAACACACACATACGCAGACTCATTTCCACACGGACATAGACACACGCACAGAAACCCACACACTACCTCAACTCACTCGACTTCACACTTCTCACTGCACACTTACCGGATAACTCGCACTCTGACTTCCTACGTGATGAAAAATGCTTTCGGGCCACTCGTCGTCTAGTTTAACTGGGGAGTGCTTATTAATAGGTACTCGGGATGATATAGATTGCCGTTGGCACGCCCTGGGTCATTCGCCCATGCAATGTGTTTTTTTCGTGCTGCGCTAGAATTGATTGACATTCTAGTTTGGCTGTTAGAGATTTAATGTATATCAGTATTGTGCTGTCATTTGCTTGGCTAGTTGCTTCTTCCTGCCTTCACAATGTTTATATTCATTTTGCTACTGTCCTCTTGACATGAGACGGACAGACGCATTGATGTCAGCTGAAGATGCAGTTTCATGTTGCTGGCCCTTGGATTTACACTGATGAAGGAATACAGAATGAGCCCCGCAGCGAAATGTTGTGGGATGCTGATCCTACTGATGGTGAACGTGATTTTGAACTTGTGTTGTATATATATATATATATATTATAGTATCATCATGAGTGTTAGTATATGATGAATTACGATGCATCATGAATCATGAGTATGCATGCTGTATGTTCATTGTTGGTCTTTCCAGTTGAGTCAAAGTGTTGATCCGCCTCGATGTTGCTCATCAGGACTGGCAGCTGAACCTCCGTGGTGGTGTGGGGCGAAAGCCCGACGATGGGTGGAGAAGGTACTTCACACGGAAGCAGGCATCACGGGTTCAGTGTCCGGCGCTGTTCATTTATGTTCTAAGCATGATAAAGAGTATCAATACCACCGTACAACACCTTCTTCTTTTCTGTTGCTGGTATTGCTGCAAGTGAGTCAGTGGTGTTACTATTGTTGCAAGTAAGTCACGGCATAAGAACGAGTTCCTTGTCGCGTGGTTTCAAAGTGATCGCAGTTGTTGTGGTGCACAGTACAGCCTTTTCATTGCGTATGAAACATGATGTTGATTCGCAGCCTTTGAGGCCAGCTTCGATGCGATTGCCCGGAATTGCACCCCGGAGAATGAGGCACCCAGGCTTTGTCTTGCTTTGCACCAGCAAGACTACCGTTTATCATTTATCTATTTTTAGGGCACCTGCTGTGAGGCCTATCGCACCCGCTTGGGAACTCCATTTGACCCCAGCTTCGATCGGCACCAGGGTGCTGCGCCTAGCAGACAGCCCTTTCGTCGCCAAAGCCAAACTTCAAAGTCGCATGAGAAGCGATAGTAGTCGCAAGGAAGCTTGTAGTTGCAAGAGTCACCTACTGCAACAAGCAGATACAACCTTTTGTCTTAGGTGCTGTAAAATGTGCTACCATTCGCGACATGCCGTTGAGTGCCTCAGCCAGCATAAGTGGCATGCTGTCCTATCGTTGCCATTGGGCAGCTTAAAGCAAGTGTAAGTTTTTTGGGGTGCCAATTTCTACTCATCCCAGATTGTGGGTCGGTGAACTGGCGTGACCTAGTAATTGAAATATGTTTTCTCACATCCGCATTCTGACTAGAGATTCTGACTGTAGGTCATTAGTATGGTCAAAGCTGAAAGCAAACTTGTATCATTCCAGACTTTATATGATCGTCTCAGCAAGTGACTGGAACTGCATCAGTAAATGTATGTTTTTCCTCACCCCTTTCTAGGACAAATATATAATGAACATATTGCTCGTACCCAATCAAGGTTTGTCCATGTTTTTGGAGCATCATACGCATGATCACTTCTTGCGAAATGGTCGTGGCAGAGCGGTCCACAAGCAACATTGAAGAAGATACAGCGCTACAATTCAAAAAATGATGTGCAGAGTGGCACTATGCAAATCTAGAATCTAGAAGTCGATCAGTGGTGATGATGAGGTCGGTCAGGATGCAAACATCTTGGGTTGTTCAATCATGGGGAGCTGTGACTCAGCACCCAAAGATTCACAGCATAGATCTGTTGCATACCCCATGATTGATAGACCACTGGCCAGGATGTTTGCATGCTGAGCCTGCAGATGTTTGCAGCCAGGTTTTGAAAGGGCCAAAGGTTGCGAAGGAGCACAGGCGCAATCCGAAAACATAATGACCAGGGCTCTACAGACTGTTCCGTTGTTGCAAACGATAGCGTTTGTGGGAGGCTGGTCAGTGGCAGCACATCTTCCAAGCACGACCTGCTGTGATTTGGATGCAGATTGAGACATTGAGAAGGGTCTCAGCTGCGAAGAATCAGAACCACTGAGAGGATGTATATATTGTATAATTATATATGTTGTGTTATGTTATGTTATATTATATTATTTTTTTTGTGTGTCTATTATATATATATATATTACTATAGATAAATTGTGAAGCTGGAGATGTGCAATGCAAGGAGATATATAATATGACCCTGATGAGGAGAGAATATATAATCTTGGAAATGTTTGTCAATTGTTACATATATCACATTGTTTTCAAGGTGATGGTTGATTACATATACAAGTGATTCAGATCATATCCTTGTAATCATGCACCGACGCCTTGTGACCTTGACCACCCGTCCGCTAAAGTTAGCTTTGCAGCCACAGCATAGTTTATGATCGAACCCTTGAAGGATGATCACCTGGCTAAGCATGTTTACTGTACTGTATAGTGTTCTATCGCTTGGGCTGCCAATAGGAAAAAAAGACAACGATTCTTAAGCAATGGCATTCCTATTTTTTTCAGCTCCGTCAGTGTTGAGCTCTTTGAGGCTACACGACCACAGCTGAAGCATCTCACCAGCCTGCGAGAGATGCCAGGCAAGTGAATTCATTATTGTAAGGTCGTTTCATAAGTTTTGCAACGTAGCTGAATTCTGTTGCATATTTGAGCCGTTTGTAAATCTAGAATTTGATTTTGGCAATTGGCAATCTGGAATGATTTTTCCATATTGAGTTGCCAAGGCCAACATCCTGGAATGACGATCTCTGACAACCGAAGCGACACATGTTGGGTATGAGACCCAACCTGCAGTTGTGGGATTGAGCAATCGTCAAGGGCTGCGGCAGCTTTGCGACTGGCCCAAGGATCCTTAGCATTGTCAAGACAGTCAGGTTCCATGAAGTGTTGTAGCCGTGGCACCTACAAACTTGCACCCTCCACAACCCTCAAGCCCTCAATATGAGACAGTACTTCGGAATCAATGTTGAAAGATGTTGAAAGATAATTTTTGGCAAAGCGCTTGCGCTTGCCCTAGCCCTTGCGCTTGCTGTGTGTCTTTATTTGTTTCCAAGGTCGAGATGATGGGAAAGAAGAGATGGGAGCAGTTTAGGCGAGACGAACTCAGAATTCGGGGAGGCTCCGTTGGAGACGATGAGCGCAGCGAAGCGCAGCGGATTTTCGCCAGGCCGGAGAATCCGTTGGAGAGGCACCCACGTGAGGGTGGTGACGTGAAGCTGCACCACCTCTACTACTTGAAGGTGACGCGGCCGTGGTCATAAAGACCGAGAAACAGCCGGTTGGACATTATTATTGCTTGGAAATGGAGAGTAAGATAAGGAAAGATAAGGAAAGCAAAAATTGGACAAAGCCATCAAAATTAATGCATTCAACCCGTCGTCGGCCTGTCAGCCTATCAAAAAGCATTCAGAAAGGGTTCCTCTTGGCTGTGTGTTTGGTTGTGAGGTGCGCCCAGAGCCAGATGATGAGGCCCGGGTCTTGCGCACCACCAAGACGCCAAGACTTGTCCCAAAGGCCAAGTCCAAGACCAAGGCCAGGCAGTCGCCTTCTTCAGTCGATTTGTGTTTATATGTTTTATTTCCTAGGAATGCCTTTGGTCAACTCAGGGATTTGCAGCATACAATGTTTTTTGTCCAAGCCTGCTCTTTGAGTGAAATGATTGATTCATTTATATTCATGTCAGCATCCTCAAAGCCCATCTCACGACGGTCCATGCCAGGCAAATCAGTGAGTCTCCGTTTGCACTGACAATAAAGCTGCACACGGTGATGCAGAAGGATGCAGAAGCGTTCAAATCATGAGACAGTGGCGGGTCGTCGAGCATATACAAGGGGCTGTTTAATGTCGCTGCTTGGTCGCTACACTTCTGACTGATTGCATTATGTCAATTTGTTGACATTGGTTGATTTAGATTGACTCAGGTGGATTTAGAGAGCTGAATGATACTACTTTCATCCATATGTACTTTCTTCAATGAACTGCTCCTCCAAATCGCTCGATATTTTGGCAATGCCAGAGGCACGCCGTGTAGGGTAATGTAGGTTTTTCCTCTCGGATAATTTTGAGAATTGAAGAGCTGGCCATGTCATTGTCCCTTCATGGCTTTGGATGCTTATTTGTTTTTTTTGCTTTGTTCTGATATCCAGTCAAGCTTGTCCGAAACATGAATCCATTCATGGCCGGCCATCCCAAAGATGCGGTCTATCAACTGAACCAGTGATCGAACCCGATCAGTTTCACTCCAGCGAAAACCGCTGGGGGCACCAGATCCTTGAAGGACTGGGCTCAAAATAGTTCAGCAACGTTCAGCAGGTGGTTGGAGCAACACACCTGCATGGCCTTGCCATGACACTCGGTATACTTTGGTCGGTGTCAAGTTTCAACATCTACAGCTCGTGGACGGATGCTGTCCATTCGCTTAAGCGACCGAATGTTCCTTTTCAGTCTCAGAGGAAGGCACGAGACTGCCGTCAGGTACAGGCGCCGCACCTTTACTTGGCAGGGAGAGGCAGGGCGCCACGGCTCGCCTTTGGTAAGCGAGAATTGAGAGAGTACTCAGGTTTTTGCAAAAAAAATGGTAAATCCATGGTGAGGTTTTAGTTTGTGATGTCAACTTGCAAAGTGGCAAGCCTTGCCGTGTCATGACCCAGATCGCCAGAACACACTTGTTGGAGGCTGATATTGGCAGAAGAAGCGGACAGAGCAGACTTGCAGCCACACATAAGCTGCCCCAGTGAGTGATTTGCTCGTCTAATCATGCCTTGCTACCCCAGCTTGTGAACAGGTTCGAGTGATCCGCGAGGGGTTCGAGGTGCGATGTTGATGAGCTTGGATGGTGCATGCAGTTCTTGTTGCAAGTCAAACATGGTTTAGGGATGTTTAGGGTTTGGATGCCCAGCTCAGTACGTAGCCGAAGTTTTAGTTTTGGTTGAGCTTTCAATCTACAAACCAGACGAAGAAGGGTGGTTGCGAAGCACCACAAGCATATTTTGCGTCGATGGAAGAGATATCACCTGCTCCTTTGAGAAGAGAATCATTATTTTGAGCCTACAGTATCAATATGGCCTCCTAAAGGTACATTCCAAACTGGCATTTGATGCGATGTCTTTTCCTGATCTCTCAACGTGCTCCTGATCGATGTCAGGTTTTTGTCATTCGCACCAAGAGCGTATTGATGGCTAGAACCTCAATGTGTGCATTGCCTTTGAACACCAAAGTGTTCACCGAAGTGAGCGCACTGACAGAGCCTTGAATCAGATGGGTTCCATATATGGAACCCCAATGGGATGTGCCGTTTTGAGTTCGACCGTCCCAAGCTGCTTGAGGTTCGCATGTATCCTTCTCGCTTCCCTCGCAGACAGCTCAAGCGGTCAAGCGAGTTTGATTGCCGATGTTCTTCAGTCCAACAGTGCAAGCTTCTTCATTTAGCGAAATGGTCGATGTGGTGCCCTTGTCTCAGGCCGCGACCTTCCAGATGTCGCTTTGCTTTTCAGTGACAGTCTCAATAAAGAGGTGCGCCACAGTACATTGCAAGTTGTTTAAGAGGTTTAGTTCCCACAGTACTGGCTTTCTATTTGGGAATTTAGACTCACTTGCCGCAAAAGTTCATGGTCAGTGACAGTGATGAAGGCCTTTTCAATCACGCTGCGGCAAGTGCCGCTTTCATGGAATGGTTGCCAGCAAGACCCTTTGGACGTTTGGCCTTAGTGTGAGTAGTGCTGGAACACAGGGTGTCAATAGTTTCACAACTCGATGTTGATCCCCAGTACCCTAGTATGCTGTGAATCTGGATGTTTGCTCCGCACAGAGTCTAGGCAGATTTTGATGATTTGTTCAACCTTCGAGTCTTTCATCAATACTTACCTGCAGATTGCGGAGCTCTCACCTGGCGACTGGGTGGAATTCGAGGCACAAACCGGAAAGAAGAACTTGGCCAAAACGTTGTGATGAAGAAACAAGATGTGGAGATTGGCGAGAAATCATGCGACGCAAAGGTATGTGAAGAAGTTGAGCGTTTTACTAGTCAGTGGGTAGTTGCTGTATATCACTGTATAGTCTCGGAATCAGTGCGGAAAATCAAGTCGTGGATTTTCCAATGTGCAATTGCCCAGGCGCTTTGCAATAGAACCTTCAGCACGACCATTAATACTGGAATGGAAAGCCAATGTTTTTGGACAAGTTGCTTTTGGACGTAGCCTGTTTGTTCAACAGTAAGTGAGTGAGTGAGGGAGGGAGCGAGCAAGCGAGCAAGCGAGCAAGCAAGCTGCAAAGGGGAACAGAGCGGCAAAAGCACAATACAATTACTGTATAGTACTGTCATACAAGTGTACAAATGACAAGCAAAGGTAAGATCAAAAGAGACACACTCACAAAGTAGCACAATGAGCAGAGGCATCCAAACGAAGAGGACACGAGCATTTGAACCATTGGAAGTACGGTACAGCTGCCATGGCCTTGTTTATTTTGTTTCTAAAAGATTCCTTACCAGCATAAACATTCAGCAGCAATGCCCAACAAAAGACACGCGTTTCTTTCTGGACAACAGATTCCTGGATTGATTCTGGACTTCAATGTTGGCTTTGGACGGTGAATACTATGAACACAGAGCAGTGGTCGCACCACTTGGCACGTCTTTCGCGAGGCTACTATGACCTTGCACGGCTATAGAGGCGACCCAGAGGCCTTTCCAGAGAATTGAACACTTGAGAAATGCAGGAAATGCAGCCACCAAAAATGACAAGCAGACTGCCAAAATGACATGTTTTGTTTGTTACCTAAGTCTTGAATAGTTTTGACGCGAACAATGGCCATCTCTACGGACCTCCTTGAGGCAAGGATTAATCATGATGAATCCTATTTAGACAATCCACAGGAGCCGAACCATCCTTAATACTGTGTTACTGGCATAAGATGTTTAAAATAGTCACACGTCTTCAACACTTCAGGGTTGCAAGGAATTGATGTCCATGCATGCATCCATGCATCCATACATACATGCATACATTCATTCATGGGTATACACCTACCAAACCAAACACTTGGCATCCAGGCATCCATCCATCCATCCATCCATCCATCCATGGGTATACAGTTACCAAACCAAACACTTGGCTTTCGTAAGTGAGCCAAGCACTCCGGCTCTCATGCCATTTTCCAACTGATGGCAAGCTGTTCCTCTCTCGTGCCAGCTCATGACACTTTGGCACATCCAGAAAGTGGAGCGGCCGGTACCTTTGTCCAGCTCTGCAGGCCCGGGCGGACGGTGATGTATGGAGTCTCATCTACCGTCCAATGGTGTTTGAGAAGCGATAGTGACAAGAGAAGAGGCAAGAGCCACAAGGTGACCAATATTGCGGCATGTTAGCATGTTGCACAATCTTGTTTCGACCAGACGAGGATGTCAACACAACACAGAATGTAGCAAGGTTGGCCGATGGATTGTGCCGGGCGAGTGAATACACATGAACTACCAGAGATCGATAAACTTCAATCTGTGCTGTTGGCTTGATTCCCTTGATGTTCCCTTGCAGGACACTCACACAAATCATTGGAGGCTGGGGATGACATCTCGTAAATCTGCCTAATAGCGCGAGAAGAGAGGTCAGCGGCTGCAGGAAAGAACAAGTTGGGCCAACAGTTCAGCGGTTTACAACATTTCTATATAAAACAGCATATTATGATATTTTGGAATTGCACGAATTTATAAAATATATTATATACATTGAAATTATGGTTACTGTATTGCAATGGGTATTTTCTAGGTGCATGTTGCAGCAGAGAGCAACATACATCACTTGCCCTGCAGGACCCTTCGCATCCCAACCGTCAGCAAAAAGAGGCGCAACATTGAGACATTTGTCCAGTGCTGAGGTGCAAAAACTGCTCACCAGCTGCTAGATGGGAGACTTTGCATCGAACGAGTCCTTGATACAAAACTCATACTCATAAACAGACTGTCAAACAAACACATGTGTTTTCAACTTTCAAGAGGAACAAAGGGTGGCACGAGACAGTTGAGAAGCTCATGATATTCAAAAAACCGATGAACACAGGGCCGTGCCCTTGTAAGGGGTTGAAGTGAAGACCTCTATGAAAACTGCCTACGACTCCCTATGAGCCATGAGCTGGCATAAATTGGACGGTTCACCCGAGTGATTCACGACAAGATGTGTTCTTGAAGCTGACTTGTGTGTGGAGGCGCCCAAAGTGGTAGAATCTCCTACACTTCCGCCTGTCCACGTGTGGAAGCCCATAAGTCTCCATGTGAAAGCATGAGTGCTGGACAATGCAGACTTGAATGACAAAAGTATCGTTCTGCAGCCCTGCTTATATTCATGTGTGTCATTGGTAGAATGGTAGATGCTTTTTTCTCAGATGCACTTGCAAACGAACACTAAGGCGAAGGAGCCGGAGAAGAGAGAGGACGCATTCGTGATGCATTCACTACATCTGCTCGGATGTGTTCGCATGTTTCAAGGGTATGCAGATGCACAGGTATGAACTTGGTTGGGGCATCATAATATGCCAGGTCAGGTTGACTAGCAAGTGCTTATGTTGTTTGAACAGTCAGGTTGCCAAAATCTTGGTTTTGTGGATGATTAAGCTATATATGTTCGTCCCCAGAGAAATCACGCGATTTGTAGGAGCCAACGAAAGAGCCGGAGGTTCCTGAAAAGGTAGCAATCGCTACAGAGGAGCAGAAGAAAGATGAGCCTGAGGTAAAACCAGCAGAGGCGCCTCTTTCAATCCGAGATAAAGCTGAGCGTTTCCGAGTTTCTAGGAATTCTGTGAAAACAATCAGATTCGGGCGATGCCAATTTTGTACGTGGTTTTAGCTATGCCTGTGTTGAGGCTCAACAACCACCGCTAAATTCTGATGCAACGGCAAATACCAATGAACCTGGAAAGCAATAAGAAATACTGTAATTCCCTTGAATATCAAAAGTAATATTCAATAATTTGAATAATATAAAAGATAAGTAAAATATATTACATAAATATTTGTTTTTTAAGATTAATTTGTGTTTTTTATATTATATATAATATATTACGATAAGATTTATGAAATTCGGCTAAATTAAGAATCTTAAAGATGTGATAATATTTTGGATTTATGCGAAGATGTTGTTTTTGGTGGTTTTATGTTTGGTGTTTGATTGTGTTGATGGAAATAATTTGATTATATATATTATAAATTTTTAAATTATATATTTAAAATAATTTAATATTTAGATATATTTATTTTTATTAATTGATTGAATTTTATATTTAATTTAAAAGATAATATATATATAATTAAAAATTTATAAATTAAATCGTTAATTTATTCGCTTATAAGTTGCTAAAATTAATTTTATATTTGGACGATATTTATATTC